ATAACCAATTTAGGCTGTTTGAGACAGTGAGTTGAATATTTAGTTTTCCTGAGAACGTGGCTTAAGGACTTAGAAGAACATTGACTTTTCTCTCTGTACCTTGAGAATCAGGTGGGATTTTAAATATGTCAGTACAATTTGAGTTATCTAAAGTCTAGTGAAATAGAAATCTGTACTCCCTACACTGAGGTCAAACTGACTTTATATTACATTAAATGACATTAATGCCCCATCATATTATCAGCAATTTTGACTTTGGGGATATTTGGGGATAGATTCCTTCTCCTTTGCAATCAATATTACCTTGATCTCAGTAACTTCTTAAAAGGTTGTTTTTTTTTTGTTTTTTTGTTTTTGTTTGTTTGTTTGTTTGTTTTTTTGTCTCCCCCCCCTTTATAACCTCATGGGTCAACAGATGCTATCAGTTACTGCTGAATAATGCAGATAGTACATATTTATAAATACCTTTTGACATTTACTTTAGGTTAGCATGGCACAGATGAGTGAACTTATTAATACTTAAGCGACATCACAGGAAGTGTTTCTGACACAGGTCAGGTGATTTTGTTTCCTACACATGAGTTGTATGGGTGTGGCCTATGGATTATGTGCAACCAAATGACAGCAGTATAGAACAAGTGTTGTCATATTTTTGAGCCTGGGGTCCCTCAGACATCACATAGTACTGTGTGATCTGCAGCCTGTGTATCGACTGGAAACAGACCACTCTGGCCCAGGCACCTTTAAAAGGCCTTGCACCTTATTAATTGAAGCATTACATAGGGACAGTACATTCAGGGTTTGTTTGTTCTGTTGGTTTTTCCTTAGAAGTAGATTCTGTATACACACACTCACTACTTTCTGCATTTTCCTCATTGCTCTTTGTGTGATTAAAAACTTCACTAATGAGGGTTGCATTATTTAGCCATTGACATACTCAGGTAGCTCTTAAACATAGGCAGCTGGCAAGAGAGATGCAGTCACATAACAGGGTAATTGGCCTTATTTGAACATGGCCTTTACTAGCTGGCCTTTGAGCCTGTCATTCTTCCTGTATAGACTATTGATATGTCTTCAGAGCTAAGGTATAAACTAAACTGCATTACTTCATACATTTACAGAGGACAATCCTGTAAGAAATCTGAAATTGTGTGCTTTGTTATAATTGCCAGAGTTCCCTATAAAGTGAAGAGAAAGGGATCTGAAGGATAAGACCCTAGTGTTTGAACATGAAGTCAATACCCTGTCCACCACCAAAGTATCTTTCCTTTGGTTCACTCTGAGACCAACCTTTCAAAATGATGCATTATTTATGAGTGTAAGAATCAGGGCTTTAAAACTATGAGCCTCACCTGTAGTAAGCTTTCTTGTCAGACTATCTTTGGATTGCCATTCCCTCATGGAGACTTATTTATTATTATGAAAGCTTGTCCATAGCTTAGGCTTTTTCCCAACTAGCTCTTAAATGAACCTGTTTTTATTAATCTGCATTCTGTCACATGGCTTTTACCTTTCCTCAGTAAGGCATGTCCAGCTTGCTCCTAGTCTGCCAGTCAAATCCCTGCAACTTGATGCCTCTTCTTCCTCTCTCTCCCCAGAAAGCTTGCCTATACTCTCCTGCCTAGCTATTGGCCATTCAGTTATTTATTTAACCAATTAGAAGATTCTTTGGCAAAGACACATCTTCAAAGTGTACAAATATTCTGCAACACTCACCATCGTACAAAATGGTTTAAAAATAGTCACAGTTACCCACATGAATTATTTCAACAGTGAACCATCTGGTGCTGCTACCCATTCTTTTCCCTAAGCAGGATTTCTGGGCAACCAAAGTTTGCTGTTCCGGTGGCTTTTTTCTCACTGCTGCAGTCATACTGAGGTCTCTAGAGCTAGGCTGTTAAAAAGATTGAGAATGTCTGGTGCCAAGCAGTCTGTTTGTTCCTATGCTGATAGAGTGCTCTTGTTCTTATTCTTTAAGAACAAACCTGGGGAGCATGTCCAGGTGCATTCCATTAGAACCTAGGGAATTCAAGCCAGTAGCCACAAAAAGAAAATTAAGTCAGTTGTAATCATTTTGTTGTTCTCCAGAGTAGCTTTTGCCAACATGAAAATAGACTTTCCACTGTCTACTTGTCCTGTAATATAATACAGATAGTTGTTACTGAAAAATATATCATTGGAAGGCAGAGAAGTTTGTCCTCATAACTTGTCCACAAATTGTACTTTGTCTTTTTGTTAGTTGTGGCACTGTTAAGGCTTAAAAATGTATTAACAGTATTTTGATACTCATTAGAGTTTATCATTAGAAGCAAGGCTCTGAAGTGAAGTGTTTCCACTATTGGACTTTGTTATAAGCATGTATTCCAGTTGGCCTGGTCCCAGAGCTGTGCCAGCCCCAAATAACATTCTGAGACACTGTATAGATATAATGCTGTTGGCCAGTTACTAGTTTCTTATCGGCTAGCTCTGTCTTAAATATTAACCCATTTCTGTTAATTTAAGTATTTCCATGTGGTCTTATCTTACCAGAGAGAGGGCCTGGCATTCTTCTCTCTCGGTCCTACATCTTGAATCTCCTCCCTACTACTTCCCAAATCCTCCTAGTCTCCTAGTCCTGCCTATCTTGCTTTCCTATTAGCCAACAGTGCTTTATTCATTAACCAATAGGAGAAACATTTATAGAATGACATCTCCCATCAGGGCTTCATATATGTTGTCTCGTTTCTCTTTTCTTCCTTTACTTTAAGGTAGCATCTTATTTGTAGGCCAGACTGGTCTTGAACATAGGAACTTCCTGAATGCTAAGCTTACAGGTTGGTGCTACACTGTTTCTTTTTGCTTAAGTTATGAACATATCACCATAGTGCTAAATATTACTACATTCTTCTCAGGCTACCAATTGTTTTGCTATTATATTGCTGCTTTATGTTAGAAGCAAGTTTGGATCTTAAAGGAAGATATCACCACTCCAATTAAAGTGTCTCTACCAGGTGAAACTTTGCTCATGATCAAGAGGTTGCACTCCAAAAAGCAAGCTCTCAGATATGCACTTAGTAGTTTTTGTTCTGATAGGAGTGGGAAGACTGTCTTTTCCCTATTGGCTGGGGTCTGACTTCATGGTCTTTTGAAATTAGCTTGTTTTAAAAGAATAGGTGCAAAGGAAATGAAGGGGAGGGGTCTGCCACTCTAATGCAAGTGCAGGGCCTTTGTGCAAACAAAGGTTTTACTTTGGGGGCATCTGGGGGAGGGGTTAAAACATCTGCATAAAAATCTTACAAGTTCAAGGCCTGCGAGATAAAATGATATGAATTCTTTGTCATAAACACAGGTTTTTTAGTATTTGATAGAAAAGACTTATTTAATGTCTCTTATACTTGTAAACTTAATATGGTCACCCACTGATGTCTGTGGATGCTTCTAAGCTCTGCTGTCATTCTTGGGCATATTTGTCTCTGTGGAAATTTGAGAAAATTTGTCAGGGTGAAGATGTGGGTCAATCCTACCACATTGTCTCTTTGACTGTTACACATTTAATGGTCTTTAAATGGCAGAAGACCTACATTCTTGGCTCACACCTGATACCATTAACCTTTAAACTATTTTCTAATCTGATGTGAGAGTAGAAATGTCCCTGGAGTCCTCAGCCAGAGTCCCATTCTGGGGGTTCCACAGCTACCCATCCCCACAGGCCAGTGGAAGACACAGTGATGTACACTGAGAAAAGCAGCAAGCTAGTGACAGAATTGCCTCTCTCCTGTATACTTGTGGAGCATCCCTCCCTGCCCTACCGAGGCACTGTAGCAACTAACTCCTTAAGGAACATTTTCTTCTAGAGGAGAATTTTTTAATGTATATTTGTGCTTTGAAAATGTCATGCATGCATGCATACCTTGTATTTTGATCACAGTTACTGCCTACTCCTCCCCCAACCACTACTTATTCCTCCCAGATCCACCTCCCAGATCTTCTTAACCTCCCTCCTGACATTGTATCTCCAGTCCACTTCTACCCTTTTTCCTTCCCTCTCATTTCCTCTTTCCCTTCTCCCTTGCTGTCTGCTCTCCCTCCCTCTTTCTGTCTCTCCTCCCCCATCCACCAAGCTGCTCACTTATTCTTGGGTGTGAGCCCATTCATTGGAGCATGGGTGACTACCTGGAGTCACACCCTTGAGAAAACTGAATCTCCCTCTTCACAGGAGCCATCAACTAATAGCTTCTCAGCTAGGGGTGGGGGCTTGTTGAACCCCCTATGTTCCAAGAGAGAGGAATTTTGAACGTACTCTGAATAGATTTGGGGGGATTTTCTATCATAATTCAAAACAGATTTCCAAATAGGTACTACTTAACAGAATAATTAGGCCTAATAACTGCCTATAACAAAATGGTTATTTAGTGCCTGTCATCAGAAGGCGCAAGGCTTTTGTTGGACAGTGTCAGCAGAACCATCTACTTAAAATGATTACATAAAACATGTTTCAGTAACAACTATTGAAGGCTAAGTAATCTGCCAATTAATGTAAAAATAAAAGTCTGTCTGCTAATGGAAAGAGCATTGCAGTTTTCAGCAGTAAATGTAATTTTTTAAATGAAAGGCAAAAATGTTGGTACATGTGGGTGGGAAAATTTGCTTATGTTAAAACAACTTAAAGCCAATTTGAACAGCAGACTTTGAACAGATGTATAGAACCAACATTTTGCATTCACAGTTTAAGTCATGATGTTGGATTTTTATTTGAGTGACCCTGCCTCTACTCCTACATGACCAAATTCTATGTTTCTAGCTAACCAGTCTAAACATGTTTACAGAAGGACTCTGTCGAACTCACTGTAGAGGCTTGTTTCACTCATGGCAGGTCCTTACTGCATAAAGTTTCCTCTCATAATGCTTCAGTAGTGGGTGCTTACAAGATGAGTCTCAGTTATAATCACCACTGGGGGAAGCCTGTACTGTAGCTCTCGCGCAATAGTGTACATGTTCATGACTTGTTTTCTTTTTTGTAGAGCACAAAGTAATCATTGTGGGGCTGGATAATGCAGGGAAGACCACCATTCTTTATCAGTTGTAAGTATTGGTGCCTACTTAATAGTGTTAAAAAACTTTGTTTTTATAAGTAATGAGATGGCTTTGTTTTCTTTTTTTAATATTTTTTTCTTATTTTACATATGGATCCCAGTTCCCCCTCTCTCCCATCCTCCCATGCTCCCCACTGCCTCCCCCCCCCTCCATCCCATCCTCCATCCACTCCCCAGGGAGGGTGAGGCCTTCATGAGGGATCATTAAAATCTGTCAAGTCATTTGGGGTAGGGCCTAGGCCCTCCCCCATGTCTCTAGGTTAAGGGAATATCCCTCCATGGGGAATGGGCCCTGGAAGTCTGTTCGTGCACTAGGGATACTGGTTTCACTGGCAGAGGTCCCATAGATTGCCCAGGAAGATGGCATTCTTTCCATTTTTAATGACACAATAGACTTAGACATGTAACTTTTTCTGTTTTGCTAAATAAAAAAGTAAAATAAAATATCATAGGCTCGTTAAAGCCTCCACCAAGTACTCACCTTCTGACTTCCCAAGAAAGATTGGACTTTAATATTAAACTGAAATAAAATACAGATTATCCTGGGCTGAGGTAATGAGACGATGCTGACTTAATGAACACTTCCTGAAGGAGCCCTGGGTGAATAGAGTGCTGTCTCTGGGAAGCTGCTCTCCCCTAAGAGCTTTGGGATTGTTTAACAGAGCCAGACTTTTCTGAACTGATGGTGGTCAAAATACTACTTTAGTAGCTTTCAAAAGGGAGAGGCTTGAAATTCTCAGAAATACATTAAGACTCATCATCAGTAAATGTTAACACCTCATGAATCCACTGTTAGAGGATTTCCCGTTCTTTCAGTGCCAAAGACATGTTAAGCTATGGAAATGGATTTGTATACCCAGAGCATTTTAATAAATAGTCACACAGTACTTGGCACTGTTATATAAATCTCACACCCCCCCCCCCCTTCTCATCTTGCATTTGAAGCCCAGCAGATCAGTTCCTACAAGACACTGGTCTAAACTCCTAGCACTACAAAAGAAAGTGGGGGAAAAACAGCATTGTTAGCCTTCAGCTTGCCAAAGCTGCTCACTTGCCTACTGCCTAACTAACACATAGCTCCTTACAGGTTATTATTTCAGGGCTGAATCATTCCTTTTCTTTAGTATATTCTCATTCATCGGCCAAAATGTTTTTAAATATCATTTAGCCTTCAATATAAAGCTCATATATCTCTGAAACCTCTTATCTTTGATAGTAGTCTTGTACATAGTGTCAAACACATAACCTATGAAACTCAAGAGAAAATTGTGTCTTCAAATACATGTTATCATGGAATGTTATCAGCAAATATATGTATTTTGAAATAAGTATTTATGCAATTAGTAAGATAATACAAGTGATATGAGAATCAATATTCTAGATATAGTTCATTTTAAATAAAATTTCTATTTGTGTGTGACATTAAGACTATATAGGTTGATAAGCCTAAATTAGTTTTTATGGCTGAACTAACTCACTTTGCTTACATAGACATTCAGGAAAATGATGCATAGAACTGAGTTATTACTACTTTTGCAAGTATCGATATCACAGTTATACAGAAATTGCTCTTTCAAGGTGGAACATTGGTTCTGATACAGTAACTGGTCATATTGGCATTTTGCCCACAGACATTCAAACCCACACCACTTTCTTCTCATCTTTGTGTGTGTCAGGCTTACAGTTCCTCTCATTAAGAAGCAGAAAACTGTCTTCAGGGGTTGCCTGATGTTTACATCTTTATTTGTACAGGAAGTCTCCAAGCTTCTCTTTCTTGTGTCAATGATCATTATGATTGGTATACGTAGGAAAGGTTGACATCTTTTTAAAATGTAGAGAGAAAATGTGTTTGGGGTTCTTCAAGATTTACAAAAGAATTTTCAATGGTGTCTTTCAACAGCTTAATGAATGAAGTAGTTCATACTTCTCCAACCATAGGAAGCAATGTTGAAGAAATAGTTGTGAAGAACACTCATTTTCTTATGTGGGATATTGGTGGTCAAGAGTCTCTGCGGTCATCCTGGAACACCTATTATTCAAACACAGAGGTATGCCAAAATTACCTTTGAATTTCAATTTTAAAAAAAAATTTTCTAAGAATCAACATCAAAGATGACTAGGCTGTAATGAGGCATGTTAGCAGTTGCCTTTAATAAGGAATTCAGATTTCATCATGGAAGAAAAAGGCAGAGAAAGAGTGCTAAGGAGTTTGTTTTGTTCATGGTGATGCCTCACTGCTGAGACTTGTACAGAGGGAAATTTGGGAATAAGATCCAAGAGGGTGTTTGCATTTTCTTTTCTTTTCTTTTTCTTTTTTTCTTCTATGAGGGGATAGAATAGTCATTGAAAATATTGAAGAGTAAACCTATTTTACTAAAGTCAATAGATTATATACATGCAAAATGTATCTGGCTTACAGAACTTGCTGTGCAGCTCAGACTGGCCTGACACTAGCTTACACCCATCCTCTTGATTCTCTGCCTCTTAATGACTGGGATTATAGGTGTGTAGCACCATGCCTGGCCCAGATCCTTTTCAGCTGAGAGCTTACCCTGGCTCAGGCCATCCTCACAGTGGCCCTCTCAGAGCCCCATGGACTGGAGAAAAATGACACGGACTGAATATCAGATCTTCCCACAATCTACGAGTTTTACACAAATACCTGGTGAGGGAAGGGATAAAATATTTGAATCATAGTTTTTCAAATAATATCCCAGATTTTTACATGTAATTAATGTGAAAAATAAGCTTGCAGGCCATCCCTGGCCATCATTATCATTTTAGAGGTTTTTGTATTTTTTTCCACTGGGATTACAAAAAGCAAAGAACATAGAATTTTTATTATATATTTATTGAATATTTTGAAAACATGGGAAGGAATTGCTTGTGTTAAAAGTAAAGTAAAGGAGTTACTCAAGAGAAGCCACTCTAAATATATGAACTTCTTCAAAGTCTCTTGCACAAGAGAATGGGTTCCCAGTGTTCTGTTGCTGACAAGAATGTAGAAGCAATCATGTAGGCCCATAGGAGTGACTAAGGAACATAGTAAGGATCATCTGTAGAGATGAATGTGTTGGTCTCTGATGGGCCTGAGAGGGCAGTTCATGGGAACATTCTGCAGAGAGCATGTCTGCAACTTCACTGTGGAGCAATTTCTCCACAGGAAACCTTCTGGGGTATTGTTTCCTTTTAATTATTACTTATTAGTTCTGTATTAGCTTGGGGAATTCATCTGTATTATCTTCATGTGTACCTGTATGTCTGCCTAGAGGCAGATTTTTTTTTTTTAATGACCATAAAGTACATTTTAGTTTTATCATTTTGAAGAATGGCATTTAGTTACACATGCAGGCTTTCTTTGTAAGGAGGTACAGCTAAGAAATCATGTTTTCTAAAATGACATCATATAAAAAGTGTAATGCAAAGAATTTTTGGTACATGAGTTGCCTTTTAAAATAAAATAATAAAAGACTCTGTGGGTCTGCATTTACTAATAGAGTTTTCTGTGTGAGCTATTCAATATAATGCATGAGCCAGAGTGGCATGTTGCCAGTATACCACACCTGTAATGGCACTGGGCTATCTTCTTTGTGGGGGTTGGGCAGCACAGAAATGGTTGATAAGCAAATATGGTTATAAGCCAGCTGGATACATATTTGTAAAGTAAAATACTAAAGTATTTTAATATGCTCAGGTAACAGATACTTTTCCAAAGTTCATTGTCAAAGCTTACTGCTGACTCCAGCTGTGAAGAAAAGCAGTTCTTATATGCAAATGGATTAAAGGTGATTCAAGCTGAACTGAGTGTACTTCAAGCAGTTAGCTTAAAAGGGTAGTTGCTGAAATTGCTGACAATCTAGGCTTAGCCTGCATCCAAACAAAGATATCTTATTACTGATCCTATTTGCATTAAATGTTCTTTTTGTAAACCATTGCTACATGTATATCTCAATTACCACAAAGAATTTATTGCAACACACCAGCATGGTCCTTTACATTTGCAGACTTAGATTCTAGGAAAAGATTTTGTGAGGTGATGTTTCACTAATCACTTTGTTCACCCTTGTAATCTTGCATTGAGAAATTCCTTATTTTAAGATGGCCTCCCAAAGTAAGTATCTCCATTGTAAAGTAAGGGGTTCTAAGCATTAATTCCTGATAGCTTCCTCTCATTAACCCAGTTACTTCCCAATATTCTGGCCCCCCCCTTTTTTTTTTTTTTTTTTTTTTTTTTGCCATGCTCTCTTTGTTTTTAGGTGGTTATCCTGTAAGTTGATCCCAGCCTCTTTATTATAACTTGGCTTGTATTGTTCCAATTTATAGGAGGAATGACAGTATTTACTCCTGAGTTTTTAACCCTTTCTTTTTCCACCTTATTTGGTTTAGTAACTCTTTTTCCATATTTTCTTGGGTAGCAAATTGCTTTTATTTAGTTTTTTATTTGCTTGTATTTTTATTTTTTAAGAGCTACTTTAGACATTCTCTCTCTCCTCTCTTTCTCTCTCACCTATCTCCCACCTCATTCCACCACAACACAAAGATATATACACAGAGATTCTCCAGTTTTCCTTGCTTTTCCTTCCATCACCTACATCTTAGCATATTAATGTCAGTACTTATAACTTAGCACATTTCAGCATACTTTCTTCTTGAGTTTTTATTGATGAAATTACTAATGCAGAAAATGTCTTATTCGTTATTTCTTGAAAACACATTTTTCTGCCAATTTAATTCTTCCTTTAATAGGCAAAAGACTTTATACAAACAAGTAATCGATTATTAATTGTCTAAAATTCAGTGGTTCTCATCCTTCCTAATGCTGCAGCCCTTAACTACAGTTCCTCATGTTGTGGTATCCCCCAACCAAATTACTTCATTGCTACTTCATAACTGCAATTTTGCTGCCGTTATTAATTGTAATGTCAATATCTGATATGCAGGATATCTGCTATGCAACACCTGTGAAAGCATCATCCTATTCCCCCCCCCCCCAGTTAGTATAAGTGGATGGTGGAATGAAGACTTTGAGTTTAATGAAAGAGTATTAAATTCCTATTTTGTTGTAAATATTACTTTTTATTACCCAGAATCAGGAGCTTTGAAAGGTTAGGTTGGTCTTGCTTTTTGATTGCTGAGCCTGCAAGTTGCCTTCTTGCTAGCTTCTGTGTTAAGCTCCCTCTGATGGAAAAGCACTCATGCTCCATAGCAGAGACGATGCCCACTGAGACCTAATGTCACTGCAGTGGTTTTGTAGAGAGTTGAACGTGCCACTTATTTTCTCCTTTTATCTTAAAATTGCCTTCTAGTTCATCATCCTTGTTGTCGATAGCATTGACAGGGAACGACTGGCTATTACAAAAGAAGAATTATACAGAATGTTGGCTCATGAGGTAAATTTTGAAAGTAAATGTTTAAAACATGAAATAAGTTATCTGTGTACTGGTTTTGTTTTGTGCAAAGATTAATGTGAAACAATGTTGGTCATTTCATCACAAGCAAAACTTTATATATTAAGCTGAGTAAAAATTACATATTTTCAAGCCTGTTATTTTGTTTGCTACAACTATTAAAAACGGTCTTATTTTTTTCCAGAATTAAAACTACTGATTCATGCTTTTAAAAATTGATAAATTGAGATTAGGAGAGGGGAGCAACAAAATTTATGTCTTTAAGCCAAGAGTTTATAATAACTTTAATGAATAATTTGAAGTAACTTGATTATAAATATTTGAGATGTAAAAAGTTGACAATAAAGTATATTGTTGCACATTCTATTTAACATAAGGTGTGAAATGCATTGTGAGCTCTTTCCAGTCTGATTTTCTTTCCTTATTTATCTTGACTCTTAATGTAGTGACTGATATTCCTGTGCATAGATGTGTAAAAATATTAAATTCCATGTTATCTTTCTGTGATTTGTACTTTTTTATATTAATTTTATAAGTTGGCATATAAAGTAGTATTAATGGTATTTTCATACAGTGTCATTTTATTTTGTTGTTAAACCCCTCTGCTTGCTTTCATCAGCCCTCCTCCCTAGCTTCCTTTGCTTGTTTGTTTTAAAGACAGGGTTTCACTGCATAAAGTGCTTTAGCTGTCCTGAAACTAGCTTTGTAAATCAGGCTGTCTTTGAACTCACAGAGATCTGTCTGCCTTTGCCTCTCTCCCTCCTGAGCACTGGAATTAAAGGCCTATGCTACCACAATTTTTTTTTCCTTCTATATTATATTACATCCTGACTGCAGTTTTCCCTCCCCCTTTTCCAGTCTCTCTCCTTACCTCCCCTCTCTCTCCCCAGATCTGACCCTGTCTCTCTTCAGAAAAGAGTAGGTTACAATAAGACCAGACATATGTCATCACATCAAGGTTGGACAAGACAGTACAGTAGGAAGAAAAGGATCCCACAAGTAGACAAAAAGTCACACAGCCCCGCTCCCACAGTTGGGAATCCCACAGGAACACCAAGCTGTTCAGGCGGTGGTGGCACACACTTTTATTCCTAGCACTTGGGGGCAGAGGCAGGCAGATCTCTGTGAGTTCAAGGCCAGCCTGATCTACAGATCGAGTTCCAGGACAAGTTCCAAAGCTACACAGAGAAACCCTGTCTTCAAAAACCAAACAAAATAATTCATTAGGTGTATACCCAGTCATGGTATGACTTGGGTCATATGTCTTTCTATTTCTAGCTTTTTGTGGGAACTTCATACTGTCTACCATAGTGGCTGCATTGGTACTCACCCCTACCAGCAATGTAAACATGAGCTTTAGCAATGTTAATATGTGCATAGCTTAAAAAAATATGTACATAGCTGAAGTCCATTGCTTTCAGTAGTGATACTAATTCATTGTGTAAGTATGTCACAGTTGATCTATTTTGTCAGGTTATGTCATATTGTTTTGATTGAAAAAAAAATAAACAAAAATCAAAGCCACAGTGAACACTATTCAGTAAGTTTGAGTTCTGTAAAGGCTAATAAGTTTACCTTGTTCTCACCTACGTAGAGTATCACACATATAGTATTAGTGTTTAATCTGACGTTTATTTTCTTTTCAATCTGACCATTTCCATCCAAAAATAGAAAAATGGCTTAATTACACATATACTTTATTAGGATGAATCATTAAAATGTGATTGTTTTAAAATTAAATATTAGTATAAAATTTTTTTCAATGGGGCGTTTTACCATCGTTAGCAGGGAACATTTTACACTTGCTTCATAGTTTCATTTGTTTTATGATAGTTCACATATTAATTTGATTTGTGATCACGTTTGGCATTTCAGTATTTTGTGTCAATTGCAGGATTTAAGGAAAGCTGCAGTTCTCATCTTTGCAAATAAACAGGATATGAAAGGGTGCATGACAGCAGCTGAAATCTCCAAATACCTCACCCTTAGTTCAATTAAGGACCACCCGTGGCACATCCAGTCATGCTGTGCGCTAACAGGAGAAGGGTAGGTGTGGTCGGGGCTACTCACAAGGTCCTTACAGCTCCAGGACAACTTTACTTCCTGGTCGTCAGTCCTTTCAGTGTTTCTCTTAAAAATGGTTTTTATATTGTTTTTCAATCTTAGAAGTTGGAATAGTCGGGCGGTGGTGGCACATGCCTTTAATCCCAGCAGAGGGAGGCAGATCTCTGAGTTCCAGGCCGGCCTGGTCTACAGAGTGAGTGTCAGGATAGGGTCCAAGGTTACACAGAGAAACCATGTCTCGAAAAACAAACAAACAAAAGTTGGAAATAGTTCTAGTGAACAATTTACCAACAAGTTCTTCATATTTTTTTAAACATAATGCAGTATTTTCAAAGGCACAAGCAGCTTTGGAATTAAATATCTAGAATTGAGATTTTTTGTTCATCTGTTACTTTCATCATTTCCTTGCTAAGCAGAAACTATAATGTCACCCGAATTAAAGAGAAAGCTGTAAGGAAATTACACATTTCCCAGACGGACTTAACTGAGGCAGTCTTCTCCATGAATGTATCTCCTGTATTATCAAGAGTCCTTTCAGGAGGCATACTTCTAGACAAGAAATATTTGACAAATGCCATTATAGTGTACTCTTGCTTTCCTATGAATGTGAGTATAGATAATATGCCAAGGAGAAGCCAGTGTGTCATGTATTATTACCTAGTTTATGCTTAGGATCCTCATATCAGTTTTTATTAATACTCAAAGTCATTTGAAATGTAATAGCTAAGTATAGACTATAGCCAATTCTTTAGAAATTGGGCAAATAAGAAGTTTCTGCTGTTTTTGTTAATAGTGGTTTCAGCTCTTGATGTAAAAACTGAACAAACTTGAGATGAGACCAGAACAGTTTGCAACTTTGTTTAATGGTTAAGATCATTTTGTTTAAGTGGCACTTCCATTACAATTTCATTGGGGATTGCTGTTCCTGACAGAGGCTAGGGATCTGGCTCAATTGGGAGACTGCTTGCCTAGCATACACAAATCCCTGGGTTCTGTCCTGACTACTGCATATACTTAGTGTGGTGGCATGTCTGTAATCTCAGCAGTTGGCAATGGGGTCAAGGCAGCAAGATTAGAAGCTGAGAATTTGAGGCTACATGAGACCCTGTTTCTTGTGGGGGATTAAGAAAAAAAAAAAAAAAAAAGATTGTCACCAAATGTCTGTAAATAGCACTTGACTGTAACAAGAAACTTTAGTTTCTGATCTCTAAAATACTTCTGTCTTTTGTTTAGGTTATGCCAAGGTCTAGAGTGGATGACCTCCCGGATTGGTGTGAGATAATCTTTTGCTTGAAAAAGACTTCTCTATTTATTCCGTGACATGAACATTTTTCCTAATACCTTTGGCTGCTGAGGCAGCAGCATGTTTAATTTATAACAACACAAACCTCTGAGCAACACTTGAATCAAGTGCCGCTGTACTGGAACATAAAGATGTTTTCTTACCTTTGTTTCAGATGCACTAATCTTCAGTCGGATGAGCATAATGTGTAACTATGTTTGCAGCAACAGAACTTTTCTGACTGCTTATTCTAATTATTTGGTGACTGCCTTGTAAAAACTGTTTGTCATATATTTCATGTCATCTGAAGTATTGTTACATCCTTTATAACCCGTTTCTTTCCCTTCTTGGCCACCACTCTCTCTCCCAGGTACTCAGTGCTTTCACAGAGCAGTAGTAGTTGTCATCTACTACTTCTCCGGCACTAAACATTTTGTTCTGTTCTCTACGAGCCTTTTTATCATTTAGACAGAATTAATTACAGTGATGAAAATCTACCTAGAAGCTCGTGTGTGTGTGTGTGTGTGTGTGTGTGTGTGTGTGTGTCTGTGTGTCTGTGTCTGTCTGTCTGTCTGCCTGCCTGCCTGCCTGCCTGTGTGTAGACATCATGAATATTTGCCTTTAAATTCCCCTCACCTCATTGCATATCACAGTTTAATTTTAAGTTGCAAGTTGCTCTTTGCATGGGAATTAAGTCATCCATTTCTTTATGTAAGGAATTAAGTTCACTTTTCTGTCAACAATGTTTGGTTAAAAACACAAGGTGAAGTATAAATTTGAAAGCCAACTTCAATGATAACTATTTTTGGCTCCGTTTGCTAGCTTAAGATTTTCACTGTATATATGTACCTGTCAGAATTTAGTAAGCTAGGACACTTGGAATATGTTTTTCTATCAGTTTGCTACCTGTTTTATTGTCAGCAAAAACTTCAGCTGTTTTGTCAGAGATACCATACCTGCTTTGGTCAGCAACCAAAATATGAATAATCCTTTTCATTTCTTAGTTTTGAAGGAATATCTGTCAGATCATCTTTATCACCAGCAGTATATTACTGAATAGGAAAATAACATTTTAAATCTGGCTGAGGCTGTTGTGAAAGAAGCTTCCAACAGTTGCCCCTGTCCCCACCTTCTGTAGGTAGACTTTGTATCCTAAAATCTTACAGGACAGTGCTGAATCTAACCCTGGCTTTTAGACTATTCCTATGAGACTCAATACTTGTATTCTTTTTTTCGTTCGGTTGAATTTTTGAGACAGGGTTTCTCTAAGTAGTCCTTGGCCTGGAACTCACTACGTAAATCAGGCTGTCATATTTTGTTTGTTTGTTTGAGACAGGGTTTCTCTGTATTGTTTTCAAGCCTGTCCTGGCACTCTGTAGACCAGGGTGGCCTCAAACTCACAGAGATCCGCCTGCCTCTGCCTCCCGAGTGCTAGAATTAAAGGCATGCGCCACCAACGCCCAGCCAGGCTGTCATATTCTTAACAGCATAAATGCTTTTATTGATTACAAAAATGGGGGGAAAGGGCCTAATGCATCAGACTTATTGGGCAGTTTCAACGGTTCTCAAAGCAGTTGTCTAAGATGAAAGTAAGACTGAACCCAAGTGTAGTCATTACCCCCCATTAGTTTTACGTGTGTCATTTGCTGTGTGTAAGGGATATGATGTGTACTTAGGGGTAGGGTAATTCCTCCTTTGCAGTATTTTTTATTTGAATCAAAATAAGCTTCAGTGTTCATAAATACCCACTCAAAATTGTTAATTTCAGTTTTTTGTATGTAAATTGCCTGAGTTTTTACTCTCTTTCCAGGTGTACTCATTTGTGTTATTTAGTTAATTTAGTTGAACTTAATGATATATTTGGTGTTGCACCCTTGGTATGAAAAAGTGGCCAGAGGAAAAGTTTTCTGCACTGTGGGAAATTGTTTTGACTCTTTTTCTTAATGAGTCTATGCCAAGTAGAGAATAAATTTAATTTTCTTGTGTGGGTTTTAAATATAATTCATAATCAAAGATGAGCAAAAAAAAAAGCAGATATAAATCAGTGTGAATGGTGTTTGTTGGGTGGGAAGTGGGAACTGAGAAAATACTAATTATCTAAAGCACACTTTGCCTGAACTTTACTTCATTTTATTGTTTACTATAGATATAAAAAAAATTCTCATGAGCCTGTCTGGAGAAAAAGCATATTTAATGCCCCAATTATTCTTCTTAAGAAATAATTATTTGCTTCCTTGTATCTAATAAGATTGGCTGGTTCAATTTTCTTCTATCAGATAATATGGTTATTTTTTATATGACCACATCAGCATTATATTGAAAGTGTTTTTAATAGTTGTTTGTATTTTGCCAAACAGCTACTAGCATAGATGCAGATTTGCTATTTAATTGTTAAAATTACAGTTTATTTTACTTCTAAGTCCTATTTTAAAAACATACGATTAGTTTGGATTAGAAGCAACGTCTGTTAGCAATCTGAGTATGAAATCAGTCTTCAAGTAGACTTTGTGCCATTGACTGGAATAGAGTCCATTAGAAAGTTTAGAGGCTTTGCCAGTTTTCGTTTACAGCAGCAAGAAACTAGTTGTTTTTTTACTCCAAGAGAATGTTCGGACCCAAACAGGTATATGATGCTAAAGCATTCAACTTGAATGTTCACTGTAAATCACATGGTTGTAAAATACTATTTGTTGAACAAATGTAAATTTGTGCTGGTGCCTTTGTTATTTTGAGATGAGTTCTTGATTTTTTTTTGCTCTGTTCTTTAGAAGTCACATTATGTGATGGAGGTGAGGAATGTATGTCTCCGTTGTCCCCACTTGTTATCCCGTAAAGTTTGTATTATACAGACACCTCCCACACCTGCTTTATGCCTTCAGAAAATAATTTTGTATTTTTAATTCAAAAATGAAGAAATTAAGTTTATCTAAAATCCACTCAATGTTACAGCTAAAAATGCAAAAAAGACTGCCCTTGCAAATCAAGTGTGCCGTTTTCTTACCTGACCATGTCATCTTCACCTAGAAGCACATTTGAGAGTTGCTTTTGTAGGGGAATGCACTAAATATTTTTATTGTTAATGTGATTCAATTTCTTAAAACTGAAAAAGTGTTAATATATATAAATAATCTATTGAGAACTGAGATTTGAATATGTAATGTTTGCTTTTAGCTTGTGTTAACATTCATAAGGAAATAGTACTTTTATTCCTTATTCACTAGAGAAACAATATATACATTTTACTTTTTAAAAAACAGATTTAAACAGTTCCCATAGTAATAGTTCCTGCCTCTTGCATCCTTAGTGCCACGATTGCCATAGCTATTATAATTAAATATAATTTAACTTTCATTGTAGCATAAAGAGAAAACAGTTATTTTCCTGTGGGAACAATGAAAAGTACAGACAATGCTATAAACAATACTCTTTGATGCTGCCAAGTCTAGCCATGAAGAAGTCTTTGAAGAAAATAGAAATTTTAAGTCTTTGATGTTATATCTTAGAGCAGATTATAAGCAGAATTATTTCCAAGGGTATTCATTTAACCCTTCACTGTGTAAAGCTCACATTAGCAAACAGACAGGGATTGTGCCGCTACGTGATGTTTTATTGGCGCTTATTTCTAGAGACCTACTTTATGAGTTAACTTTTTATCTATGGTTCTAGAACAAAATCCTCACACACCTAAACTTTAGTTTTAAAGGTCCTTTAATCTTGTCAGTGGGTCACTTCAAGATACAGTTTCTTGTCTGTATTTAGCCAAACATTGCACTGGCTGTCTAAAGAAGTGGATTCTGATCTTAATCTGCCCATTTATCATGTATCTAGTTGACCTAAGACACTATTGTTCATGACTTTTTTTGTTCTTCCCAAACTGAGGAGCCTTTAAGTAAACAAAGTCTCAACTGAAGCCTTATACTTTTTTTTTTAAATCTAAAATAATAGGGAAGTGCTTGTATTACCACATTTAAGTTGCTTATTCATTGTTTGATTCCCACTCCTGGAATCACTTCCTCTAGTATTTATGTGCAATCAGGATGGAACAAAGTATAAATTAATAACTCTCCTTCAGCTTATACTGAATTTCTAGCTAATGACAATGCAAAAGAGAAGACGTATTCATTAGAAAATGGCATTGGGTTGCTTATAAATAGCACCTCTATGTATTGGAAACCATCTTCTGAAAAACATACCTGATTTTTCTGGCTTTGCTGACTCGATGGAAGTGGTTAGCTTGTTCTGTTTATTTCCTGAAGGCATCCCAAACACTTCAGACTTTCCAGTACTGAAGGAGTAGCATGGAACAGGACATCATTATGTTACAGACTTAATTAAGTCCATTTAAGTGTGAAAATGGCTGACGTGTAAAGCCTGCAGTTTTCAATGTCATCTCATCTTTATTTATTTAGTATTAGTGTGAAGACTGAAACCCAAGAGCCAGGTTTTGAAAGAGAGGTGTATTTTAAGAATTCTAGGTTACCAAAGCTAAATAGAGGCCAATAGAAACGGGGAAGGGGGTTGTATTATTTCACTTTAAAGAAACAGAGTGCTCACCTGGACCTAAAATCAGCTTTAATTGTATATTTGGTGAAATGCTTAAGTGTTTATTTGGAGGATTACAGGTATTGCCAGAGACAATTCATAATCAGACAAACTTGTTTATTAAAATCATCTAAAATTAGATAAGAAAATATGGATGCAAGAGTTGGTTTTTTTTGTTGTTGTTGTTTTGTTTTGTTTTTTTCTTTGCATTTAATTCTGGCAGCATGGGAGAACTAGATACTCTACATTGCATTTAATATGGCTGGAAAATCTGAGACAGGTTAGCCTTCTGGGTTAGAATCTGGGACTTAAGTTTCTCACAGGCATCTTGGTTTTTTAAAATTCTCTGCATTTTCTCCTACAACGGAGAAATAATAAAATGTGCTGTGTGTAGACTGAATATAGAAAATGAAGCTTCTAAAAGAATGGAAATGTTTTCTTGCACAACCTAACAAATTTTAATTTAAAAAAAAATACCTCAGTTTTTCATCTACACGGTGCTTTAAGTGTCTGGGATGTTGTGCAGTGTAGTAAATCCCCCTTCACCCAAATGTCTTTGAATATGCAGAATTCCCAGCTGAAACAAGTGCTAGGTGGGGCTATTGCTTTAGCCTTTGTTTCCCAGCCCCAGGGTGAACAGGTATCCTTTCATTCAGTGCAGTGAGCAAGTACTCTGAGTCAATATTTAATGAGTTAAGGAAAGGAAAGTCCTGTAATTTGATCAGAGATGATAGACTATGACTGTCAGTTTGCTAGGACAGTAAATGACCATCATTTGATCTCAGTAGTTTATGATTTATTGGCACGTTTTAGCTCTAGTAATGAGAAACTAGTCATTTTCATGTAAATTTTTCCTCAGGAAATTCAGGGACTCTGAGGTCCCTGTTTATTCTCTTGGAGTAAATGTCCATTCTAGTTAACAACATTTTTTTTTTTTTCTTGGTTTTGAAAAAAAGATT